GGAATTTTCCAGAGGTACATATGTGTGATATCACAACAAAGGGAATGCAGGAGCAGACAGGAGAATCCAGCTGGCTTCTGTTAAGCCAGGCATGAAAGAGGCTTTTCAAAACTGCAAAAAAGTGTTACCCTTCTCATCCAATCTTTTTTTGTTTAAGAAAATATAAGTTTTCATTAAAAAGCTATTTATGTTAACGTAGTAAGTTTAACATTGTTGTGGAAGTGAACTAGTGAACATTTTTTAAACGTTCTCAGCTTTAATTTATAATATGGTAAATACGGAAAGAGATAATCCAGATGAACAAAAGCTCTTTGGGGTCCTCAATACTTTTTAAGACTGTAAAGGAATCCTGAGACCAAACAGTTTGAGAAGACTGCCATGTGTCATGGTACTCATTGTGCTGGCCGCATGGGGGTCTCAACACACACTCTCCCAAATCGGCTCATCCGAGCTCAAGTCAACTCGATGAGGAACTGTAGCTGTGTCATATGAATATCTGAGATCTCCCAAGGAACACTGTACTATGCTAGGCATGCTTCACCTCAAACTTTCTGAATTGAGAAGAATTTACCTAGGACCACCAGGCGTGGTGTCCAAGTGAGATACACACTTGCCATCTGATGGGCAGCCACTGGTTTTGCCTGGCAGCCTCTATTCCCCCTTCCTCTGATAAATCTCACCCTTTTAGGGATCAGTCACTGCCCCGTTCTCAGTTCCCGTGGTTCAGAAGGCTCCAGAGGCAGTCATGTGACCCAGATCCAGAGGGAGCAGTTGGTTCAGAATTAGTCATGTGACCCCAGCAGAGTCTATCAGAGCCAATGAGCATTTGTCCCAGGTTTCTGTTGAAAGCACTGGGAAAAAAGAGCTCTCTTTTTACTGGTAGGATGAAAGCCTGGAGCCTCGAGTGGCCATATTCTGGAGCATCCGGTGGTACCACCACTGGGATAGAGCTTGCCTGAGAATTAAGCCAACTCAGAACCAAGTAATGGAGACAAATTCCTGATTCTGCCATTTGAGCCCCTGGAACCAGCTGTGCTTGGACTTCTTGGTTATGTGTGCCACTAAATTTTTTTTTTTCCCTTAAACCATTTTGATTTGAGTTTGTCTTCTAGCTAAAACAGTCCAGATGAAAAATTCACTGTAAGCAGACCCAAGACCTGGATGGTAGGGAAGCCCTGGGAGGATTTGGGGTGAGTCGTCCGCCACCGGCATCCCTGAAGCCCACCACATATCCGGAGCCTGGGTGAGGCCCCTTTTTACCCACTGGAGACCTGACAGATCCCCTTTCCAAACAACAGAGCTAGTTAACAGCACAGACTTTTCTTTCACTTTATCATTTATAAAGCCATACCATGGATTGCAAAGAAACAAAGCAGCTGTACAGGAGTGGGACAGCATCGGTGTACAATACATTCATATCCAGGGTAAGTAGCATACATCAGGGTTTATACAAGGTGACAGAGATTATAGGCATGATGATACAAAATAGAAAGTATATTTCCATCTATATAAATACACTGCCAGGGCATCAGGAGGATGCTGGGTTATTCGGTTTTTCCTGCAGAGGGTCTGGGAGGCAGGAGGGGATGGAGTGAGGAATTTCTTACATTTGTTTTGAATGACATGTCAGAGAGGGGAGAGGTGGGGAAACACAGCATGCACACACAGATGTGCTCTGTCACACACATGAGCCACATGTGGACACGCAGGAGAGTCTCAAGCTGTTGAACACTGATTAGAAACAAAAGTGGGCTATCCTTTTACAATTACCTCGCAGCTGGGAAGAGTCCAAGTGTGGGAAATAAACAGAGGTCCTCCAACACCTCAACATCTGAGGACAGAGGAGCGCCACCCCGTGTGGTTGATCCCCACCACCACCGACACTGAGATTCCCCCAATCAGGGGCCCTACGAGCCCTGCCTCTTGATTCCTTCCGCCGCTGGGTGATAGTGAACTTGACATCCCATTGCCAACCACCTCCGACCCAACTCCTAAGTTCTCTAAAGAGACAAGCAAAAAATGCACACACATACACCCACACTTGCACACGCGCGCGCACACGTTCTGTGTTACCACTGGCCAGGGCACTCCAGTCTCAGGATTCCGGGGCCTCGACCCGGGTGAAAAGTAGCCCCGGGACTCTGCCCCCAGCCTCTCCAAGGATCCCAAGGGTGGGGGGATGTAGGGGCAGAAGGCCGCCCTCGGAAAGGGCATTGGCCTCCTTGATCCGCCCAGATGCAGATCCTGAAGCTGGGAAAGACCAAAGCAGGGGAGAAGACCCAGGAGGCAGGGGTGATGAACGAACATCCCAGGGAAGGGGGCCATAGACACTGTTCCATGTACAGACTCGTCCACAGACCCCTGGGTGGCACCAGGGGCCTGCCCAACCTCTGCTCGGCCCATCCGAGTGGGCAGAAGGATGTTCGACTCATCTCCCTCAGGGGCCCCTTTACAGAGAATCACACGTGTCCCTTGGGCTCCCTCTTATGGTCACAGAGCCACCAGGTCCCCCCACCCCTATCCTGCCCGTCTCTGACAGACTCAGGGATCCCTCAAAACCCTGCCAGGGAAGAAGGAATCCTGGCAGTCAGCAAGCATTTGGAGCTGCTGCGGGAGAGGCTCCAATGAGGACCTGGGTCAAAGGGCCTTTCCCAAACCTAGGACACAATGTCTCTGTCCCTGGAACACCTGGCTGGAGGAGGGAGCCAGAACACCACGATCGCAGGGCAGGGGCGTCCGCTCAGCCCTGGAGCTCCATCAAACTGTTCCCTTCCTCCCCATTTCCCCTCTGGGGTCACCTCTCCACCATTCCCATGCTCAGTCCTCCCCTCTCGCTCCATCTCGGAAGGGCCATGGGGACCTTGCTGGGCCTCTCTCCCTGCTGAATTGGAGGGCTGTCACTTCCCTGCCCCCTGTTCCCTCCAGACACCGTACAGGGCAGCTACAGTAAGGCCTCGGCTGCCTCAGAGGCCTGGATGCACAGCAAGACACAGGCTGGGCCCGGGGCTGGGGCCTGAGCTTGCCTGGGGTCTGCATCCCTGCATCACACGCTGACCAGGCCTCTCCGGCCTCCGGCTCTTTCTTGCCAACTCCTCCCAGACCCTTTCCCATCCCCAACTCCCCAGCCCACTTTCAAGACCAGACGGCACTCTCCTGGCTGACAAACAGATTCAACAATAAACAACAGCAAAGAAGGTTGATGGGGAGAAAAAAGGATAAACATTCACACAATAATAACAGTAATTATTAAAAGTGCTTTCTTTTAAAGGAAATCTTTGGCAAGAACATACTGCAGTGCTGTGGTTGTGTGTGTGTAAGTGCGTGCGCACGTGTGCAAGGTGCACGGGCCTAACCTGTGAGACACGGGAGGGTTATCCCAAGCAGTGTCTGACCCTAAGGTGAGACCACGGTGGAGACTGGGGTACCCTTCCCCATCGTTCTTCTGGACAGGCCGCACTCTCGGAAACTGACTCTTTCCAGAAGGATGTTGGGTCGGGGGAGTCGGTCAGCTCCCCAGCGTCTCGAGTCCTTCCCAGAGTCACACATGGCTCAGGCCTGAGTGTGGTGGGCTGCTGGTGGGCTGTGGGAAAGCACGTGTGAAGGCTGACCCCAGACTCACATGAAGGGTCTGATGCTCCGCCCGGCCATCCAGACCAGGAGGAGAGAGTTCCCGGGCTGTCCAGTGGGAGATCAAGATATTTACAAAGGAAGTGGGTGGGAATATCCTCTTCTGTCTGGGAAGAGAGTTGGGGTTAGGGAGGGAATGAGAGAGGGGAAACCGCAGTGTCTGGCTTGAAAGCCTCAGAAGGAAGAGACCTTTGGGGGAGTCTTGGTCACCAAGAACAAGGTTTCAATCTTTGGGAAGCAGGGGGCTACTCCCCACTATCTTCAGACGCTCTCCTTTCCAACTCCCTGAAACAGAACATCCACACAGATACAGCTTCTTGGAAGAGAAAAAAAATACAAGACGCACACGTCACCCACGCCCACCACACGCACCCGTGTCCCCTGCAGGCTCACACACCCGCTCGGGCCTGCAGGGAGGCGGGCTGCCAAGCCCTCATCTCTGGGAGCTGACAGCAGGGCCCAGCTTGCCAAAAATAACGGGGGTGAAGGGGATGGAACACGAGCACCCGCTCCCCTCTGAGTCCTAGTCAGAGTCTAGGGAAGGCCAAGGCCAGGGCAAGGAGACCCCTGATTGCTCCAAGGATAAAGGCCCCTACCTTTCAGGCTTCATTTATAGGTACAGAGAGGGATGGGGACTGGATTATGCCAGGGAGGCAATAAAGCTAGATGGGGAAATAATAAATACTTCTTGTCAATTTACCTATTCTTTTTTTTTTTAACCTTTTCTTATATTTCATTAGCGTACAGATTCTGTATGTCTCACATATATATTATATATATTTATATATCAGTACAATGCCTCTCTCTAGGGAACCCAGAGGCTTAGGAAGCTACTCAAGGATAGAGTCCTGGTGGATTTTCCATCTGGCTTAGAGCACTTGGGTGGTGGTCAGGGAGCGCCCAATCGCCCAGTTGGACTCTCAGCCCTTCGGCCTAAATGTGCGCCTTCTGCCCTCCGCTCCACGGCAGCTGGGCCCTGGGGGGAAACCAAGGCAGCAGGGGGAGGAGCAAGGCTTTGGTATCACAGGCAGGCCATGTGGTGTGCAGGCAGCCTCCCCCAGAACTCTGACCAGCTCCCCTGGGCGGTCTAGCAAAAGTCAGACCCCCGATCCCTTGCAGAGGGAGCACAGGAACTGCAGGGGTCTCTGCTGGGCCTCGCCGAGCAGGGCTTATAGAAGCAGGTTCCCAGGATGAGCCCCCACATGGGGACCCTGCAGGACAGAACAGGGCAGGGAAGAGCAGGAAGGCTCAATCGCCAGCACCCAAAAAGGCAACATGCACATAAGCAAGTCTGAGAAAGGCTGGTCTGGGGCACGAGACCCAAGAAGGGGCTGAGGGCTGGGAGCTGGTGGGAGCCACCTGCCCACCCCGAGGCTGGGCCACACGCCTCGGGGAAGGTGCCTAGAGCTCAGCAGCCTCCCTTCCTGAGGGATCTCTTCCCCAGAGCTCCGGACACACAAGTCCCCATCTCCTCAAACCAATGCTCCAGCTTCCTGGTGGAGGCAGATCAGGGGTAGCGTTGCAGCGTGGCCAGACCCACTCCGTGGGGGTCTCCGTTGAGGAGAAGGGGTTGGCGGCACCCAAGGCTGTTAGAGCAGGTGCAGGGACCAAGAGAGCGTCCATTACTCACGATCCTGGGTGTTCCTGGGGAAGGGGGCTTATGCCCCCTTCCTCCTGCCCTGTCACCCCCGACTCTAACTTTCTTTGGACAGTATGCACTTGTGTGTGCAAACACAGGGGACACGGACAAGTATACCTGTTTCTACTTCAAGCTGAGAGGCAAACAGAAATCAGTGTGTGAGGATGTGGGCATGGCCATATATACACCCCATAAAGACACCCACAAACTGTACATCAGAGGCAGAGCAAAGAGACCTTAGGGGCCTCAGGTCTGAGATACTTTCAAAAGCAAAAATTCCGCCACTGGATGTCCCACGGTGGCTCTTTTTGGTTTGGTGATCTACCCTAGAGGTGGACAGAAAAAGATTCTCTTGACAGGATTTCTCCTTGCAAAGCAGTTGGGTTAGGAAGAAAGAGCTTTTCCATTTCCCCCCGAAATGTGGAACTCCGGAGAGGTCCATTCTGCCTCTCTTGAGGAGTTCCATCCTCTCAGAGGGTGGAGGGGGAGTTAGGCGGGCCTGGTTAGTTTTGGGGGCTCTGGGGGTCTTGCAGTAACATCTCCCCGGGGGAATCCGAGTTATTCTCCGTCTTCTTCCTTCTTTCTCTCTCTCTCCCCCTCCCCGCTCAATTCACTTCCCTCTCCCCACATGACACTTTCTTCTCTCCTTCTCCAAAATTGGCCCAAAGTCCTCCTTCTGGATTCAAGGATGGTCAGGATGCACAGGTCCCTTCCCCACATACCCATCCCCACTGCCCTGGCCCCGGGCAAGGGGACGGGGGAGTTCATCTCTTCTGGCCGGCACTCAGCATGACCTTGGAGACAAAGTTGACGATGGCGGAGGCTGGCTGGTTGGGGTCAAGCTCAGCAAAGAGGTGACAGGCGTTGTCCGTGGTGCTGCCCTGTTTCCGGGCCACAAAGCCGAAGAGCCTGCAGGGGCGGGAGATGGGTGACAGGTGTGGTGGGGGGTGGGTGGTGGCAGGAGGAACCCCAGGCCTGGGACAGGCTCCCAGGAAAGCAAGCTCATCTTTGCTCCCTTCTCCATCTTTCCTCACCTCCCTGAGCACTGGGCACTGAGGGTGGACAATGTGAGAGAATCCTTTCTCTCCTTCACCAACAAGAAAACCAATGCCTGGAGATAGCACGTCACTTGTTCAGGGTCAGCAGAAATTCCCCTTTGTGGGTGGGGAGCAGGGGGAAGAGGTGCTGGAGGTGAGTGACAAGACCCGACAGTAAGAGGTGGGGATGCGACCAAAAATAAAATGGGACATTCCTAGACCAGCTTCTCTCAGCCCATCCCTGCCACACCCCTAGCCGAATGTTCTTACACACAACATATAAGCAAAGTGCCATCTGCCTGTCAAACAGCCCGGCCGCCTCAGACACCACAGAGGGTCAGAGACCAAAGGACGAGGGGCCACCGTCCCCCACTACACACACACACACACACACACACACACACCTCCAGAGAATGGGAGGGGGAGGAGGACCCCACACGTGTTCCCCCCCAAACCCCACTCCCCATACCAGGACTGGAGTGACTGAGCGTTCTCTCTGTGCAAAACAGAGTTAAAAATACGAGCGCAGAAGAACAGAATGTGAGCTCAGGTCCCCTCCCAGCCAGCACATTGCTGGATGGGGAAATCGGGACAGCTGGAAATTCCAATGGAAACCCCTCTCCCAGGACTGGACAGACCACAGCAGCTAAAATTAGCAAAGTGGGACTGGCTTACCACACACACACACAGGGCTCCCCACGGTTTTGCTGTACCCAAATGTATTTCAGGGGCTGGGGACAATCAGGCCAGAGGCCTGGGGTAACAGTCTACCCAAGTGGTGGGGAAGCCTGGGCCCGTGGATCACCCTGCCGGAGCCCCTTCTCCAGGCCAGGATGGAGAACCGGCCCACCTCTCAGGCCTGAACACTGCCCGCCTGCCCTCCCTTCATGTTTATTTCAGCTCTGTGGGCCTCAGGGCCAACTTAACAGTAGCCCAAGTCCTTCCTCTGCTTGGAGGAATGGATGCGGCAAGAAACCTCAGCCCCCAAGGGCAGAGAGGAGCGCTTATAAGCACTCAACAGCCGATGACCTCCAAGAGCGATCACCTCCTTGGGGGCCTGAGGCATCTCGCTTGCCTCACCCTCGTCCAGCCCTGAGCTCTCCTGGGTCCCCACAAGGGCGAGTCAGAAGGAAGCTCAGCACAAAAGCTACTCCTCAATGAGGAATTTCCAGGCCTGGGACCAGTCTGCTTCTGTCCTGGATGCATCTCCCCCTCAGAGGGCCGGGTGGTGAGTAAGACAAGACCCTTCAAACGCAGAGCTCTGGCCTCCTGGCTGGCGGCAGGGACTTGGAGAGCCCAGTGACCCCATGAGCCCCAGGGCAGGCTGAGATAAGCTTTGAGAGGACTGCACACGGGGGCCTCTCTTCAGCTGAGCTGCTAACTCTTTATGTGACCTTGAGCCAGGAGAGGTCTGCTCCATCCCACATGGCCCCTCTGGATGAAACAGAGCAGGACCCTATGGTCCTTGCCCCCCATGTCTTCCGCCTGCCTTCTGTCTGTGGAAAAACTTTAGCCAGAGAATAAGTTTAATCAGAGAAAATGCAGAAACAAAGGAAAACAGTCCGACAAGACTAAATAATAGTAGTTTAGTCACTAAGCATAGTCAAGGACCTTTAGTTCCTTCTTAAGGCCTCGAGATAATATTCTGAGCCGTATCCTGTGAGCTGTCTTGTAGATACTGACACTCCCAGCAGGTGGAAGAAGTGAGCGACATCATGACCAGTTAAGGGGGCATGTGGCCCCCTCCCTCCGTCTATAAAAGCTCTTGCCCCCGGGTTGTCAGTGGGGGTGGGGTGGGGGCCGGCCTTTGGACAGGCATCCACCCTACCCCGTGATTGCCGGCATCCAAAATAAAGCAAACTGTCCTTTCCACCAACCTGGCCTCTTTATTGGCTTTTGAAAGGGGAGCAGCCAGACCCCACTTTCGGTTACGCGGACACCCCCAGAAGGAGCTTTCATCGTGCTGACCCTGGTCGGTTCCACTCATCTGGACCTCAGTGGCCTCACTGGGCCTCCTCCTCGCTCTCCTGCCTGCCTCCATCCTTTCATTTCCTTACTAAATATCTATCAGCCCCTCCCACACGGCAGATACAGTCGTGCCCTCAGGGAGCTTGCAATCTGGTGGCCTCTCCAGCCCCATCCCCATGAAATCAGCTCTCTCCTGCTCCCACACCCATTTCTACCTGTCGTATAAGACCTGTTTTGTTTTTTTTTTTTCTTGCAGTACGCAGGCCTCTCACTGTTGCGGCCCCTCCCGCTGCGGAGCACAGGCTCCGGACGCGCAATCTCAGCGGCCATGGCTCACGGGCCCAGCCGCCCCGTGGCATGTGGGATCCTCCCGGACCGGGGCACGAACCCGCGTCCTCTGCATCGGCAGGCGGACTCTCAACCACTGCGCCACCAGGGAAGCCCTAAGAC